GATCTCTCATGGGAGTGTTGCTGGTTCCTGTGAGGGATAACTGCCCAACATTCATACCCACACTGCAAGCAGCCAGTGTTTCTGTCCTTAACACTTCTGGTTTAACCAAAAATATGTGCTATAAACAACAGCAAAAAAACCACCAAAACAAAATAAAAGCATTATCTTGACTTCTGATGGCTTTTTACCATCCTGTGTTCCAGGGACCACAAGATAAGCAGGGAAGCTGACATCCTAGAGCTGGAACAGAGAGGGCAAAAGAGGATTCGGTTTGGGAATGACATGGAGCATTTCGAGGAGGAGGTGATCCGGACCTGCAGGCTGCTGCGCGTGAGGGCCGACCGGAAAGCCCTGCGCAGGAAGGTCAGCTCAGACACCTCCACTGGTAACAGAAATGCCAACAGGATTAAAATTACAGCCAATAGTAGCACCCTGGAGAGGATCCTGAACCTCAGCAGGTGTTAGGACAACCTCAGAGACGCTCAAACCAAGGACAAGGCCTTGTGCTCCTGCCACCGAGGCGTTGTCACACACCCCTTTTGTAAGAGAATTTGTGCAATGACAGAATCCCTTTCCATCGCCTTCATGTGGTGTCCCCTTGTCACAGGCTGTGGAAAAGGCACGTGTGGAGAAGGAATACATTGAGCTGCGCTCAGGGAGACCCCCCATGTTCTGGATCCCCCTCAGAGCACACGCAGTGTGGGAGAGGATGGATGTGAAGTTGGCCTGTACCGTCCTGGGCTCCCCACCACCGCAGGTCACTTGGTAGGTCAGTCCCAGCAATGACCCCTGTGGGCAAAATCTGTGCATTCCAGGGAGCAGCCAGAGGAATAACATCCATGTCTTGCCAGAGGGAAGGAAGGGGGAGCTTCAGAGGTCACAGAAAACACTCTCAGTTCTCCAGCTCTGCTGTAAGGGCACTGAGTACTCCGTGGGCCTGGAAGCAGTGGACAGTCCAACAGGGCTCCTTCTGGGATTGTTATTCATGTAGATTTATTTCCCTGTTCCCTTGGTGTTGTCCTCTGTCATGCAGAAAAACTTGGGATTTCAGTCTCAGAAACCAGGATCTATCTTCAGCACTAAACCACCTCACACATACACACCTTCAAGGCCTGGCTGCCCTGGACACCATGAGAGTTTCAGCATTAAACTGCTGTTGCTTCTACACTTCGTAAAATACAACACAACTCTCACATTTACTCACTTTGCATATTTGCCAACCTCAGGGAAGGAGTGTTAAGTTCTGGGCCTGACTGCAGCACACACCATAGCAGAGAGATGGAAATAGATGAAAGATCACCTCAGAAAACAATTTGATCAGTTTGTCAAAGCGATGGACCCTTCCTCCCCTGGAAGGTTTAAGTAGGCAAACATTTGGATTACTAATGACTTCACAGGCAGGGAGCTCCCCATGTCCTGGGTCCTTCCAGAGGGGCCTCTTTGAATTATTCAAAGAGCAAAGAGAATATGATCCTCCCACAGGTCCCCGAGGAACACAAAGCAGAGACATCTGCAAACTCCCTCCCACGACCTGCAGAGCAGGGAATGTTAAGCCAAGGCCACGCTGCCTCAGGCAGCCACCAGCATCCCTAGGGAAGGGGCAAGCAGGACTAGGGAGGGGACCTAGGTCAGCTGCAAGGCTGTTTTGAAGTGGGAGACCTGTAAAAGAGGGAATTGTATCTACTCCTCTTTTCTGCTGTGTTTGAGACAGGTAATTTCCTAATAGCACCTTGTTTGTGTTCAACTAGGTTTAAAAACGGAGTGCCCATCGATCCCCGCCTGGCCCCAGCAGGGAAATACAAGATAAAAAACAAATTTGGGATGCTGACCCTGCACATCAGCAGGTAATGTGTGTGCCCTTGGCTGAGCTGGGTTTTTTTCAGTTGAATAAGACCTGCTCTGCCACAACTCCCCATTTGTGTATGATAAACCATAAAAGGTAATTCTTCTGGAATCTGACCTTGCCTGACTTCAGGGCGCTGTCTTTGAGCTAAACCTGTGCCAATCTCAACAGCAGTTCATAAAACAGCAGTTCATTTAAAAATCCTAAAAAAAAATAAAATTTAGAGCCTTAATTTATTTCTCCTCCTCTTTTTAGGCATCACCAACATTTTCTCCTTCAGGGTAAGGCCACGCACGTGAAGCACTTCACAAACAGACACAGCAATGTGATTTAGGATGGATCAGTGTGATCAGAAAGACACCAGTTCAACTCTGAGAATTATACATGTGATAGACACATGCATATCCTCAGTGAAATCAAGTGTTCCACAGGTCTTTTGCTTGCTCAGTACTTGAAATGTTTTGCTTTCAGGTATCAAGAGAAAAAATTGGCCACAAAGTATCAGAAATCCTTGTAATCGAAAGGAAAAGCAGCTTATGGATGAAAAGCAAATATCTCCTTTTATTTTCTGGGATTAACGGGGAACCCCTTTGAATCTGTCCTGTGAAATATGAACAGTAATTGAAAGCTAAAAAGGAGGGGGAATGTGTTTTGGGTTTTTTTTCAGATGCTCCATGGAAGATTCTGCTGAATACAGTGTGGAAGTGAAGAACCAGCACGGAGAGGCTTATTCATTTGCCACGGTGCTGGTCAGGAGTAAGTACAAAATATGCTCCTTTGGCTTTAAACTTTCAAATTCTGTAGAATCTTCAAAATATTTTCATATATTATATTTTCACTCTGGGAAAAAAAACACTGTTAATGGGAGAGGAGAATTCCTCTCACCTGTTAGTGAGGAGAAAGCACAACTGGCTAAATTAATCTAGGCTGCCACTGATATATATGCACATGGCTGATAGAACAGCTTCTCTTTCTCAGTCACTTCTGGACTCAGCCAAAATCTTTCAGATTCCATATGGACACAGCTGTCCCTGGGTTAAAATTGAACTAAATTTAGGCATTTTTTTTCTGCTATGAAACAGCCACACAGTTAAATACATAACAGGCCTAGCAAGACTCTGCTGCATTTCTGAAGACAAGCAAGAAATTGGTTACCAAGACCTGTGGCTTTCAGAGGGACCTCTCAGTGCAGTAGTGCAGAGAATACCACGTTTCTCTCTCATATCAGTAACTACCAAGAGCAAATACAAGATTTTCTTATTTGATCTGTGCTGTTCTTAAAATAACTGGCATAAGGAATAATTCAAATGTCAACAGATGAATAGGAAGGGTTTGGTTTGGATGTCTTTGGTCATGAAGAGATGGGTTTCTTCAACTGATTGAATTCCAAAGCCAGCTTGAACTATGTTTTCAGACAGAATGGGTTTTGTTTGGTTTAGAAAATATATTTATTACTAGTGCTGCAAATATATTCTTGGCTCTGTCATGGGTTATGTTAATATCAGACTTATTCTTCACATGCCATATTTTGATCACATCTGAATCCCATTTGGGATATGTATCCCTACAGAAGAATGTGACTCCAGAATTGTAACAGAAGTGTATCAGGATATCTTTCAGATCCTTTAATTGAACGGCGTCAAAATTCAACATACCTGGAAATGTGCAGCAGCTATTTACCAGTTCTAAAGGGTTCTGTATAATAACCCAGAAAACCTTCATTTGCAGCTTTCCCAGATTTCTAAATACCCTCACCCCAGGGCAGAAATACAGAAAAAGTTGCCAGGTGTGCAATGCTTCTGCATTCCCACAGTGTCCACACCTCAGGAACTGGCCTTTGCCACAGAGCAGCAGCAGCTGCCTGAGAGAAAAATTCCATGCCAATAACCACATCCTCCTCTCAGTTCCTGTCAGAATCTTTAGGATCAGGGTGTGATGGCAGGATAAGGGTCTAGCCCTGGATGAGATGGCTCTCCTCACCTCTAAGTGCCTGATTAACCTGTCTCTCATCAGGCTTTCCAAACCACTGTGGCTGTGGTGAGGGGCCCACTCTGCCCCTTCTCCCAGGATTTCTCATGCCATCCCAGTAACATGAGTCTTCCTCTTGCTATTTGCATTTAACAGTCTGAAAATAGAGACTCCAGCAAGGCCTTAATCCTGCCTGCACTGGAAACATTCCCCGTGCCCCGGGCAGGCCGATGGCATCTGTGCCCCCGGCCCCGCTCTCTCTGCAACGGCCTCGACGCCAGGGGAGGGTCTCTGGGCTTTCACTTTCCCTGAAGACATCACTGAGGGTCTCCCAGGAACCTGGGATGAGGCTCTGCTTTAGCTCCCATGCTTTGTATTTCTTTCCTCCTCAGCTGTTACCACTCAGCCTCGTGTTTTGCTTGTCAGCGACTCAGCTACTGCCAGACCTCAGTCACTGGAAGAACAGGCGTTATTTTATGGGCATTCCTGCCAACTTAAGAAAGTGTCTCAGTTTCATCATGTGTTAAGTGCATCAGTTCTTGGATTTCAGCTCCAAATAATGTCACTTTGTGATGTGGTGCCAACAGGTCAGAGCAGGTGGAGGGGGCCAGCACCCACCTGTGATGCCCCTAAAGAATCCACAATCTTGAAACAAGTGATGTGGGGACACACTTCCCTCAGCTCCAGGGATTACCTCAGTGTATCAGAAGAAATATCCTTGCTTTTGGTTAAATCTTGAAGTCCCAGTCACTGGTAGTTTTCAAGAATCCCACATCATCCTCTGGGAATGCTGTTTCAAGCCAGGGGTTTGCTTTCACCCAAATTTTTATTCTGTTTGCTTTTAACTTGCCTAGTGCAGCTTTGAAAGGCAGAAGCCAACCTTGAAAAACCCTCCTCAGCTCTGAATAACTGAGTGCACGTGAGCATCCAGAGCAGTATTGCTCACACTGGTACAGCCATGGGAACAATCCCCTCTGCAGACACATCCCCAGTTGTTTGTGAAGGGCATCAGCTGTCAAATGAATCACAGTTTTACCTCTTTGAAGGCTCACACTAAGGGCTGCTTCAAGGGAAAAACGGTTTGCTGAGCATCACTGGACATTTTTGAGGAGAAGATAAACACTGGCACGAGATTTGCTAAAAGTATTTCCTTCTTGTCTTACAGAATACCATGGAAAGGAGTCAGGATTTGATTCAGAAATATACAAAAGTGAGTAAATCATTGATGTTATTGTTATTTATTTTTATAGCCTGAAGCAACTTGATTCTTTTTTTTTCCTGAGCCAGAGCTTTTCCCATTAGCCTGACTGCATGTGCAAAGTGCAAGCTCAGGTACCACTCTAAATGTATGACAATAAAAACACTACAGGGAGGAAAGCTCTGGAGGCCTCTTTATCTTGCTGACTTTTACTCTTATTCCACAGGATCCCTTATGGCCAGAGAGGCAGATTTTGCTTTTCCAATGAAACCCTTATTTTCAAGAGAAAAGGAGCCTTTCACCCTCTCCTGTTACTTCTCTTCTGATTTACTTGACCACCAACGAGACATCACCTGGTTCAGAGATGGTTTGTAGACAACACCTAAGTTTATATGTCTTTACCTCTAAGAATGTACCCTTGGAATTTATAGCTGTGATTGAATGTTCACAGAAAAGAATCAAAATTCAGGATTCCTGAGCTGCTCTCAGCTCTCCTCAAGATACAGATGCCACTATTTAATTTCTGTGTTTTCCCCACTTGTAAAGGCTGATACCACTAAAATGTTTCAGAGGTAAGGACATTCCTGCCCACGGGAATAACTTAAAAGCCTTAGTCCTATCCAGAGAAAGCACCAAGTGGAAAAAACTTTCGTTATACTCAGCTGGCAATCAGGGATTTCCATCTTGGCCACACTGGTGATCTTTATCTGCTTTTTGGAAAGCAGGAACAATGCAGCAAAGTTGGAGCAGTCCATGGCTATAACTTGGAGGCACAACAATAACATCAGGAATGTCTTACAGACTCTCATCTTGCTCTTTTGTGGGTTTTGCTGCTTTTTTTTTTATGCCACTCCTAACCAGCCACTCCAGGTGAAGTTCCTGTCCCCCTTCTCATGCTCCACAGGTGAGTTGCTGCAGAATTCCCAACGTCAGGAGCTGAAGTACCAGGACCGGGAGGCTTCTCTGACGGTGCCGTGTGCCCACAAAGAGGACGAGGGATTCTACACCATCCGTGTCCCCTCCCTGGATGGGTACAAAGAACAGACCACTTATGTGTTTGTTAGAGGTACATGCAGAGGACAAAACCTCCTTCCATGATACCTTGGCAGGAAGGAATTCCCAACCTCACACACAAGGAAATAGCTCCCAATTCTGCGCAGGGATGCAGCTATTGAAGTGACCAAATCTTATTTCCAGTAGTGATTTAGAAAACAAGGCTTGCATTACTGCAATGTAATGGTCCTGAAACACTTAAAATTAAGCTACTGAATGAAAATTTTGGAACAGAAAGGAACAGACAGTAACCACCATCCCTCGGTGTTTCCACAGATGCTGCAGCAGAAACTCCTGGTGCTCCTGGATCCCCACTCAACGTGAAATGTCACGATGTGAACAAAGACTGCTTGATTGTCTCCTGGGTAGCACCCAGTGATGATGGAGGAAGTCCAGTCCTGGGGTACCTTATTGAAAGGTCTGTAAGTTAATCACCTTTGAGCTAAAAAAGCTCATTATATTGTTGTGGGAATACCGTGAAGGAACTCCCTGGGCTGTGTTTTGTTCCAGGTGTGTTGCTGGGTCAGAGGATTGGGTTCCCTGCAATGCCCAGCCTGTGAAAACCTGCAGGTGCCCTGTCCTGGGCCTTGCTGAGGGACAGACGTACCAGTTCCGAGTAAAGGCTGTCAATAAAGTGGGCATCAGTCACCCCTCAAAAGCCAGTGATCCAGTTACAACATATGATCCCAACAGGGACAGGAGAGTGACAGGTTTGTACAAAATCAGGAAAAATTTCTCCTCAAGGACAGAGGGAGGCTGCAGCTATAACTGAAGGCAGTTTGTCCAAGTTCTCCCCATTCTCACAAACACCACTGGAACACTCTCTGCCTTCACTGAACCCACCTTGGGACTATTCTGGGCAGAAAAACAACAAAATACCATTGTATGTGACATGAAAGGTATATAATTAGGCATATAACAAATGCCACAGTCCTGGGTTCTGCCTCTCTTCCCAGCATCTCCCCTGAGTGGATAACATTGCCCTGTTTGACATTACAGTTATTCCGTACGACGAAGGCAGGACGATAGAAATATCCAAGGATGACCTGGAAGGTAAGTTCCAATTTCCCCTGAGCCTTTTTCTAAGAGAGGAGTGATTGTTCTGCAACAAGGAGATCTGTGAAAACATGACTGGAGAAAGGATACTTTGGAAGATAACCATAATAAACTGCACAAGGATCAGAACTATCCCAAAGAGCACAGCCTTTCATCAGAATCTTGGTTTGCCTCTGTGTCCCCAGAGGGCTTGTCTCCTCCTGTATATTGATGAATCTTAATTTATAGTGGGAAAACAGCAGCCATTGTAAAAGAACTTTATTTTCCTGCCACATTATCACTAAAGCCTTTCTGCCTTCCCATAGGACACATTAAAATTCCACTGCCACCCACCAATGTTCATGCAAGTGAGGTCAGAGAAGATTATGTGGCTTTGGCCTGGGATGAACCAGATCCAAGAGGCAGAGAGCCCCTGAATTATTATGTGGAAAAGGTAAGAAAATAACATCACATAGAAGGGGAACTGCAGAGCAGAACCATTCCTTCCTCAAGTGGGTTGTGGCACTGGAGAACCACAGCCTCAAAAGTGGCTGGTTCAGCCTCCCTCCAGCTCCTCAGGGCACCTCATCCTGACTCTGACACCCACTCCAGGACTAACAGTTAACAGAGAATAAACTTTTACACTGCAGAACAGTGGCAGGATTTTAACAGGAAGGACCCTTCCTGCCCCAAAGTGTGGAAAAGCTGTGAAAAACTGCACAGTCCTTCACTGTCCTGTTCCCCACTAATCATTTTGCTGGTTAATTAGTATCTACTCCCAGTCTCCTCTCATGCACACTCATTTCTCACCTGCTGCACCACTTCTCCTGCAAAGGGGCCCTCTGTTGCCATGGGAGAAAAGTTTGGGTATATCAACAAGATATCTGTAATGTATGGGTTTGGTTTGTGGTTTTGTTTGTTTGGTTGGTTTTTTTCCCATTACTTTCCTACAACGATCAGCTCTGTTATCTGTCGGGGAGGGGGGGGTGGGTTGTGCCTGAGTTACAAAACAAGTTGTAAATCATCACCTTTTTCGTTACAGTCGATTGTGGGCAGCAACTCCTGGCAAATGGTTAATCTGGACATGCCAGTTAATTCCCCAAGATTTGCACTCTTTGATCTCGTTAAAGGCAAATGTTACCGTTTCCGTGTGCGATCCGTTAACAAGTATGGAATCAGTGAGCCATCCCTGCCCAGCCAGCCTGTGACTGCTGGAGCAAAGCTGGGTAATTATTTCATTACTCTGCTCTGAAAATAATGTGGGAGTTCCCCTGCCTGCCCCTTCTTTTAAACTTCACGGTCTGTGATTACACAGCAGTTGCTTTGATATAAGGAAATCTCTCAAAGCCTTAAATCCTTGTTTAATTACTTTGCAGTTGGTCAGTGCAGTGTAAATCTAACCAAGCAGCGGGGGGGGAATTACATTTAATAAAATAGAAACAGTTGAAGCCTGTGTTTAATCCAAGTATGCTTCCAGCAGGGTGTGAGGGAGGTGACACAGACCAGTGTGGAAGCATGACCCCCTGTTTTGGGGGGTTCAGGCAGGAGGCAGAGGAAGAGGAGACGTGGCAAACCCAGACATAAACCCAGGGTCTGTAGACTGGGACAATGTCCATGGCATTTTGCTCTAATTTCATACAGTCACAAACTGGTTTGGGTTGGAAGGGACCTTAAAGCTCATCTCATTCCACCCCCTGCCATGGGCAGGGACACCTTCCACTAGCCCAGGTTGCTCCAACCCCTGTCCAACCTGGCTTTGGACTCTTCCAGGGATGGGGAGCCACAGCTTCTCTGGGCAACAATTTGAAAATGGTGCTCTGGAAAAGGTGAATAAATCAAACAGGCCAACTCAGAATGTTTTGGTGGTTTTTTTTTAAATTATAGATTTTAAACTTCCCTATTTTTCTCTGTATTTTTTTCTCTCTTTTTAGCTCCTCTGCCTCCACCATCTCAGGTTTTAGCTTTCAGAGACACCAAGACATCTGTTGTTCTGCAGTGGGATAAGCCAAAGGATGGTCTGGAGCCCCTTGGGTATTACATCTACTGCAGGGAGACTGGGACAGAGGAGTGGCAAACTGTCAATAACAAGCCCGTGACATGCAATGAGTGAGTTCAGCTCTTCTCCTCCACTGAGAGATGACAGGGCCCAACCTGGATTCTTCTGTTTCTGGCTGGAGTCATATTTCAGATAAAAAAAGACCTTCCTTCACTCCCCCCCCACAGGCTCGCCCACACACAAACACCACGTCCTCCTTGAGAAATCAGAATTGCTCAAAGCCTCACTTTTACACCCAAAGCCAGGCTGACAGCAAAGTCTGTGTGCTCTTCTCAGACTGGGGCTGTGCAGGTACACACACCTTGGGGCACCAGTAGAACCACATTCCATTTTTTTGCTTGTTTTCCAGTAAAGTAAGTTGGCATCACTCACATGTAGGATGTAGAGTCCCTCTCTCGCTGTGGGGGTCACATAAAGTCCATTAAAAAGTCCTGGTTTTCCTCCTGACAATTCCAGCCAGCAGAGTGATTCCTGTCCACCTGTTCCATACCCACTGTCTGATTTATTGGGTGACACTTTAATATGTAATGGCAAATAATGATTTTTGTAAGAACAAAGCCTTATTAATAACGTGTTGCTGTCTGTTCTAAGCACTGTTTACTTTTACTTTGCACAGTCAAACACAAACATATTAATTTACTCTCCCAGATTTACTGTTCCTGGGCTGCAGCCTGGAAAAGAATATGTCTTTTGTGTGAAATCTGTCAGTGAGGCAGGACTGAGTGAGAGCTCCCCAGAAACAGATCCCATCGTTGTCAGGCCAGCGATCGGTGAGTGGTGACACACCCTGCACAAACACACCAAAATGAAACCCCTCAACCCCCCATCTAGCATACATATCTATTACTGCACGTAATGATGATAATGTTTGAGAAGTAAAGCAACAGAGAATTGATTTTTCTTGTGCCCTGCAGCTTCTGCCATCAACTGCACTTGCCACGGGTGGGCAGAGTTAGTTAAGTAGCATTTTGACTTAGCAGTGTGTTACATTCCCAGTATTAACTTGGCTCTGCTACAGGTGACCATTTTAAGAGCTCAGTTATGCTGTGTCTTGAAATCAGCATTGGGAATTTCTCAGGGCAATTACAAAGTCCTACTGACCACATCAGCCAGGATCTGCCCCTCCATGTTCCTCATTTTATTGATCCCCTGCTTTCACCTCCTCTGTCACACAATCCATAAAGCAACACGGGAGAAACATCCTGAGACACAGCCCTGCCTTTTGCTGTGACTTCCAAATGAGAACCTGGTCATCTTCAAATCCTTTTACACTGCCAAAGTGGTATTTAGGGAGCCTTCACATGTGAGCACACTGAGATTTCCTCAGCACAGTTCCTCCCAACACTTGGACTACGCCTCTTTTCCCAAGCCTGCACTGAACAATTCCCTGTTTTCTCTTTGCTCAGCTTGCCCATCGGCCCCACACGGGTTTGTCCTTCTGCACTGTGGGAAGACCAACATGACCATCGGCTGGAAAGCCCCGAAGCGCAAAGGAGGAACAAAGATCCTGGGTTATTTCCTAGACCAGCACGACAGCTCCGAGCTGGACTGGCATGGAGTGAACATCCAACCAATTCCTCGGCGAGTTTGCACGGTATTGCTCTCAGCTGTGACCCTGTGCTGCTCCAAGCACAGCTGTACCAAGGGCTGAGCTGCCTTTCTGCTGGTTCCAGCCTAGGAGTCTCCTCTGCCCCTCCCCAGAGCAGCAGGGCTGTACTGACCATGTTTGCCCTCCTGCACCCAAAGGTCAGCGGCCTGGAGGAAGGTCACCTGTACGAATTCCGTGCCTGTGCCATGAACAGGGCTGGAGTTGGGGAAGTGTCTGAGCCCAGCGACCTGTTCAGGTGTGAGGAGTGGACGATGCCAGAACCAGGTACCT